ACTGAAAATAATAAACAAAATCAAGAGTTTATAGTCGACTTATTGGATACTATCACATGCAAATATTTTCAGGCAATGATCGTGAATCGCACGTGACACCCCAGGAATAAGAGCTTGAAGAAATACACGATGTCCTTTTAAGTTGAAGTCAATACATTAAATATTGTTAATAAAAATTGCCAAATTTATTAGCTCAAATTAAATCAAAGCATCAGAATGACAAACCATCCTACACAATCCACTAATCTACACAAATACAAGTATATACTTAAAGAAGTACATCCATGCAATCCAATACTTCAAAGTAAATAAGTACCAAACTACCAATACATCAATTTACACCCCATGAAGAATAAATTATGATTAAAAAATCAGAGAAGAAAAAAAAAAGCTCGAACCTTATCGTAAACAATGCAAATAGTCAAAGCTTTTTTATACGTTTACACAAAATAGCCATGAAGTTCTTTCATAGATGAGCAAAGAGGTTTTAAAAATTTCATTCAAACTGCAACCTATTTTGCTTCATAATGATTAATGAGCAGGAATGAATCCATGACTTACTCAGATTTTAAAAATTAAGGCTATTGTTTATTTTTAAGATTTTTTCACATAAATAAAGTTTTACTCGATTTAAATTCCTAAATATTAGGAGTTCTTACTTAGTTACCTAGTTTAATAAGGAAAGATCTACTTTAGTTAATTTAAAATAAATATTAGAAAAAATAATTAAATTATAGTTTTATTCGTGAAATCTAGTTTCAGAGGGCAAAAAAGGCGAATGAAATTTCGTTAAGGGCCTTCGTACTTTTAATATAGTATAGATTAGTAATAAAAATAAGAGGTAAGTAAGTAATACCCAAAAAATATATTGATAAATTTAGACAATTAAAAAATTTTAAACATCAAAAATAATAAAAATATTTTCAGAGTGGAAAAATATATATCTATGTTATATTATAGAAAAATAGTGACAAAATATTAAGCCAATTGTCAAGTTAATAAAAAATTTCATTAGTAAATATTTAGTATTAAGTACTTGCTAATTTAATAAAAATAAAATAAGAAATAAATTATTTATTTAATTACCATATGATGTGTATCCTTCAATTATATAAATTTTATTATATTTTTGCAAACTGTATTAGAAGTAAAATAGCTACTAAAATTTACTAAAACATTATGATATATTAAGATTGTTTAAGTTTGTCCGCGCATGGCACGGGATATAACAATAGTTTAAGTAGAAGGAAAACACATTTCTAAATATGAATCATGTTTTGCTAACACAACTTACCATGGTTAGTCTGATCACAGTGGTGATACTTTGTTCTGCCTATTCCATCTTTAGGGATATGTTTGTTACGGGTACAAGATTAGTAATGAAGAGAGTACTAGCGCTGGAATTAGTAATGTTCCGATTAACTATTGGTGTATTAAAAATAACATGCATTGCATATTTTTTTTTTAAAAATAATTTGTTAACAAGAATACCCTCTACACTTTAGAAAGGATTCGGGCAAAATTTTGAAAGGGCAGTTTTGTCTTTATACATGCCTATTCATGTATTAAAAATCATGGGTACTGCTAATGTCATTTATTATGTATAAGAATAGCATTGAATGGGAAGTAGAACTGATACAAGTATTAGTTATATATAGGTTGAAAAACACTACTCCCTCTAGGCCACATTAATTGATTTTTTAGCCTTTTTTGTGTTCCATAACTTTTCAGATATCAAGAAGGAATTAACTTCTTTTTTTCAAAGTTGTCCTTGGAACAAAAAGTCTTGAAATATATGTTATATTCCCAATGTAGTGATGTACAAATTAAAGAGATAGTAAAGGCTAATTTGGTCAATTTTATTGTTAATTAATGTTAAAATGTGAGTTCCTTAATATGTGTGAAAACATCCAAAAATTCAATTAAAGTAGACCAGATGGAGTACCAAACAAGGGATTAATAGTATCAAAGCTAATACATGTATTATTTTCCCTAATATATTCTGCCAAACGACCCCTTATCGTAATCGAACTTGAAAGGGAAAAGGTCCAAAATTATCCCTCTAGTATGGTATATAGTTTAAGTTTGTCCCCCGTTATACTTTTCGTTCAGATCCGCCCTTACCGTTAACAAACTTTCAAGAATTGCCCCTAACCCTAACGGATCTACACCGTGGCAGCTGACCTCCTCAATTTTTTCCATGTCAACTGCCACGTCAGTTGCCAAGTCACTCGACCCCCCTCCCCTCCTGCCACTTCACGCTACTCATCTCTAACCTCATGTACCCATTTATTCCTCCTTTACCACTCCCACTTATTCGAACCCCTCACTTTCTCTCCCTTTCCATCGTCAACCCCTTTATTCTTAATCTACATAAATATAACAAAGTTCATAACAAAGCTTACTTCTAAGGAAATCCAACACAGTTCTATCATAACAGAAAGGTACCAATTTGGTATTTAAGTGAAATCTTATAGATGAAACAGGGAAGTGGGTTGGGGTTTTCTTGTTGGTAAGCGGCAAAGTTCACCGGTGGTCACTGGATGTTTGGATTTTTTCGTTGGTAAAAAATGGGGTATTGGCTATGATGATTTGTTTAGGGATGTCGCTACTAGAATATTCTGGTGGGGGAGTTCGGCAGCGGCTCGTTTTTAGGTTGTGTCGGATGGCTATAAGCTTACATGGTGCTTTAATGGTGGTTTGGGGTTTTGTTTGATTTTTCTTTAACTTCAATGTGAAATAGTTGAAGAGCTCAATGCATCACTTCAGGAGCTATAACTTTTATCAGCGAATAGGGAGGTGAGATTTGTACACAGGAGCTAAACCATTATTGACGAAGCTTTGGACCTTGAATTTTCCAAACCCATATCTGAAAGCAAAATTGAAATTATGGGTAAAAATTACTTGTTCTTGCTGATTTGAGTTTATAAATTAATCATAGCACCAAGTTGTTGAAGAAACTTAGAAACAACATTGTTATGGTTCTAAGAAAATTTGAAAAAGACGAAATGGTGGGTTCCTCCGACTGCTTGATCTTTTGCACAAATTGGTCACTGACAACGTTGTTGAAGTTAATGGCAATGAGAAGAATGTAATAGGCATGTGTGATGATAGGGTTAATTTTAATGTGGGACCTGCTGATATGGCAGCTGATGTGGACAAATTAATAGAGGGATTGGGTGCCACGGTAGAGGGACGTTAGGGTTAAGGATAATTTTAGAAAGATTGTTTACGGTAGGGGTGGATCTGAACGAAAAGTATAACGGGGGACAAACTTAAACTATATACCATAGTAGAAGGCTAATTTTGGACCTTTTCCCAACTTGAAATAGCAGTGTGCTGCCCTTAGACAAATCACAATGATGTTACTCTGTTCTGCCTTCACTCTTTGAGAATGCAGTTGCCTTGTAAATTGTAATGTTGATTACCCAAAATTTAAGTTCCAATTTCAGTTAACTACCTCAATATGAATAATCTACAAACGTATTTTTCACTTCATCAAATTCTAAAAAGGAAATCAAATAATTCAGATTGCAGTTGTGGAATTGTCACAGATAATCTGGATTGCAGTTGTGGAATTCTCACCTTTATCAGCCATTTAAACCATTGTATCTTCTCCTATATGACACCTTACAACATAAAACCAGTGACGGAGGCAGGATCTCCACGAAGGAGGTTTTGAACCCCCTTGACCACTAAACTACATTCTTGGGTTGTGTTAAGGGGGGTCAAAACTTAATATATAGAGGTAAAAAACAAATTTTGCCTTGTATATTCAGTGTAATTTTTCGGCGAAGGGAATTCGGGTAACCCCCTTCCGCCCCCTAATAAAACAACCAAAAATTTTGTCCAACCACTGCATTATAGCATGAAGAGAACAATTCTGCTAACAAATTCAAAAGAGGCAAGAAGGAAAGTGAGCAGAACTGCTCTGACAATACAAATATAACCTATTGTCTCAAGAAGAGCTGGCACCAGTGAAATCCCAAAACCCAATATCTATGAGGCTTCTAACTATTTTTTTTCTCATCCAATTCAAAAGAACCATAGTTGGCCTTACAAAAGAACTTGGTCTCCATATATACTGTTCTACCCTGGCTAGTTTTAATAGGCACCAGAGTCTTCGGATAAGATGTCGGGGGATTAAATATCCTTTACTCTGTGCAAATAAAGGGGCTGAGTTCACTGTTCGTTTGATATCCCTTTATGCTTCATCGCCCGAACAATCTCAACAATATTCACAAGCACTACAAGGTGCAATGATCATGAATCTTTCATAATATTACATTGGTAGAATTTGATTATGATGAGCAAAAGACCAAGAGGATATATCACTCTTACCACTATCAGTATATAGCATGCAAATTCACCATGAGAAAATTAACAGTATGAGTAGATAAATATTTGGAACATCATAATAGCTTGTTCTTTTTTTAACAGTATATCACATGCGAAAATCACATGAATACAACTGATTACTCTACTACTTTTCACTTCTAACTGGTAAAGTCATTCTCCTACTCAGGAGGGAGAACCTCTTAAAATCTCTTGGTAATACAATAATCTTTTAACACAGCACATTCTTAGTACTGGTTCTTATTAATAATTATAAATACCTTATCTTCTGGGGGAAAAAAAAAAGATGTCAAATACATGTCTTGGTGCTACTTGGTCATGACTATAATTACGCCTCTATAAATAACAAAAGTGTGAAGAAACACCAACACAAACAGGTAAGCTACTATAGAATCAAAATAGCTGAAATTAAAAAATCATCAGTTTGCCACCAAGAATTTCCATTGCTTTAAACAACAACAACCCAGTAGAATCCCACTAGTGGGGTCTGGGGAGGGTAGAGTGTACGCAGACCTTACCCTTACCCCGGAGGGATAGAGAAGTTGTTTCCGGGATTTCCATTGCTTTAAAATAGAGTTCAAATGAATAAGAAGCTTTCCCGTAAGGGAATAGCTCAACTTACTTGACAAAACTAAAGCTCTCGGTCCATAAAGTGATGAGTAAATAAGCAGAACAAGAAAAAGGTACGACACATAATCGAAACAAGCACATTCAAGATATCAACATTTACAGACATCAACTGATGCAAAGACAATATTAAGTAAAGCTCAGGTGTAGAAGACAAGAATTAGTACAGTTAAAAGGTAGTCATCAATAAAACATTGCTGACATACAATTACCAAGGAGGATTAGAGCCCTCTCTTACAGATGGTGACCTGGAATCTGCACTACCTTCTCTTCCTAACCTTGACAAACTCCTACCAGCTTTAGGAGTACTCAATCCAGGACTTGCACCACGGTAACTTGCTCGAAGAGACTCATCTAAAGTGTGAGAAGACTTGGCGATTGCCTTTCGCATAAACTTCTGTGCAGCAGGTGAAAGAGGGCGTGCACTTGGACTAGCACTCCCTCCTCTAACTGGTGAAGGTAATGGTGGTTTCTGAAACATCTTTGACCTCTCCCTCAACTTACGAGCAGCCTCACGAGATAAAGAATGAGCCTTCATATCTCTAGAGGGTGGCATTGGTATCTTATATTGAGGGCCTTCACCTCTTCCACCAATATCAATGGGTGTGTCCTCCTGCTCCAGCCTTAGAGGTGTTCCTTCAATTTCTCCCCATGTTATAAACGGAGATTCATCCGCACCAGGAGCGGGCGAAGGAGTCTTAACAAAACTATATCCATTCTCAGCCTTCTTTCCTGACTCAACAAAGAACTGATTTGGGGTCTTCCGCAGATCTTCCAAATCATACCTCTTCAACTTATCCTCACCTCTATCATGAAAATAAACAGGAGTCGCCCCATGAACGGGTGTATAAAGCACAGCCACTGTCTCGTCCTCTTTAGGCTGAGACTCCATCATTTTACCATGAAACCTCGTATTCACCTTACTAATCTCTTTCGTCAATCCCTTGAGCCTCTCAGCTCTTTCCTCTTCGGTCAAGGCTACCTCCCCATTATCAGCCGGATGATACATCAGCAAATTCTTAGCACAATATTTCCACCCTTCCAATGTAGCCACTGGCTGATCCGACGTCCCATATCCATCAGTAACTACCTTGGCCCTCTTAGAATCCTCAATCAACATAACATCCTCCCCCTTTTCACCTTCCAACAAATACCCATATTTCTCTTTCCTTTTTCTATTAACTTTCTCAATTATCTTCGAAAAACTCTCATTGTCCTCACTCGTATACCTCCTAAAAAACTCATCTAACGTCAATGACACGTCCACATCCACCTCATCATCACCCTCAGCATTATCACTAGCACTAGACAAATTATTACCCTTAACTACACTAGGGGTAGGGGTTTTATAAGGATCATCAAAGGGGGTAGTGGAATTTCGAAAGAAAGTTGAACCGGGGGTTCGAAATTTACCTCCAGTGTTCGATCCAACAGCTTTACCTCCCCTTCGCTCGATGATTTTTAACTGAGCATCTCGGATTTGAACCGGGTCGCCTGTGCGAACCGCTTCAAGCCAATCGAGCCGATCACGAAGCTTTGGGATATCCGGGAAGAAATCGCGCTCGATTATTTTTTCTATTGCAGCCACGTAGGTATCTTCGTCTAGTACTTTGTTACGGTGTTTGTTGATTGGTACTGTTGAAGATGAATTGTTGTTGGTGGTGGTGATAAGGGTTGAATTAGGGTTTTGCTCGGCGACAGACGGTGAAGGAGACGGTGTTGAAAGGTGACGGGGGGAGTGGCCCGGCGATAACAACATGGTTGGGAGGAAAAATTTGAGATTTGGGAAGAGATTGAGAGAATTCTTGAGTTTTTCTTTTCTTTTTTTGGAAACTACGACGAGAGGAAAGGTGAGGAGGATAAATTGAGATTTGGGTAACAGTGGACAATATGGCGGCGGCAATAGATTTGTGAAGGGAATAACCAGCTTGTCCTCTAATTATTTTGAGCGCGTTCTCCTTGTCCCCACTAAAGGTTTATTTTGCCAAAAACCAAATATTTTTTACTATGATCTTAAATATAATGTAGTACTCTCTCTATTATAAAAACATATCTAAGTATTTTTCTTTTTAGTATGTTCCAAAATAAATGATATATTTTTAAATTTAGAAATAAGTCAACTTCAAACTCTTCATTTTATCCATTTTCTCCTTAATGAGAAATTTTTATAACCACACAAATACCATGACCCCATAAAGCTTTTAACACAAGTTTCAAATAAAAAGATACATATATATATATATATATATATATATATATATATATATATATATTACACATATTAAGAATCTCGCAAAGCCTAATCAACACATAATTATATGGTCACTCATCAATTAATGTAAAAGTATTTTAGCATCAGATAATATCTAATTCTTCTTTCTTGCTCTCTTTTATCGATATAATGATAAATTTTATTATACCTATAACCATGAGCGAGGCATGTTTATCTTTTATATTAATTGTATACGGTCAAAATCATGTGTCCCCGATTTCGTAGGCTCGGGGGGTCGCATCGAGAACGAGTTCAATATGGACTGGGCTCGAGCCCGATGGCAGAATACGAAACTCGAATATCGAAGTGAGCGATGAATATTGGGGCCGAGTATGGCCAACCTCGAGAAAATACCGTTATGGTTTTATAACAGAGAGAGCGAGATTCCCGCGGTGGTCTTGAGATCACGGCGTAAATTCTGGAACGGATTTGTACTAGACGGTTAGACATATGTATAATAAGATTCCCTACTACAATTAGAATTGTACCTTATTTAGGATTACCCTACTATATAAAGGGGACCCCAATCATTTGTAACGCATCATCATTCACTGAGAAGAGAATATACATTTCCACTTTCTTGCCTACTGCTCATTTGAATCAACTTATCATTATTTTACTGTTCTTGTTCATTTACCTCGAGGTCGTCATTGCTCAAGGTCGAGGTCTGCTTATATGTTGGTTTGACTTACCTTACTCTTTAATTTACACACTTGATTCCTTGCTTATAAGTTAGTATTAGTTTAAATCACATATCTTTAAAATCACAATACAAGTTTAATTGCTACTCGGATTTTTAGGGTAAACAGTTTGGTGCACACCGTGGGGCTAAAGATAATAGTGATTATTTCAGTACTGATTCTGATAACACACGTTATTTTCACACTTGTTATCGTCAAGAATTTTTGTTCTCAAGTTAAAACATGTCAGACTCACAAAACGCACCCGTACGTGGCGATGATGGTCTTGGATTTCACGGGGAAAACAATAATGTAGTTGCTCCGGGAGCCGATGCACCACCGATTAACCCTGGGGAAGTGCCGATTGTGGAACCAGACGATATTAGTTCACACATTGCTTTGAATGTGGATTTAGGCGCAGACCCCGGAGGAAGTGTACGCAGGGAAGTCCGATCTGGTAGCTAAGGAACACAGGGTATAATGGTTTTGATAAACATATCGATCCCGCAGAAGCACCTCGATTATCGGAGTATAATTTCAGGATCGATGCATCGGGGATCATATCGGCCATCGGAAGGATCAAAGACACCAGGTGGCCCAGACCTATACAAACCGATCCTTCTCAAAGAAATCCAAACTTGATGTGTAAGTATCACGGCACGCATGGCCATAGGACCGAAGACTGCAGACAACTGAGGGAGGAGGTAGCTCGATTGTTCAACGAGGGCCATCTTCGAGAGTTTCTCAATGATCAAGCTAAGAATAATTTCAGAGAAAGAGACACCAAAGAAAAGAATGAGCAGGAAGAACCGCAGCATGTAATTCATATGATCGTTGGCGGGGCCGATGTTCCGCAAGGGCCTATATTCAAACGAACCAAGGTGTCGATCACCAGAGAGAAGCGGACTCAGGGCTATGTGCCCGAAAACATCCTATTGTTCAATGACGAAGAAGCAGATGGCATTTATCAAACACACATCGACGCCCTGGTAATTTCTATTTTGTTAAATAAAATTAAAATTAAACGTGTTCTAGTGGATCCAGGTAGCTCAGCAAACAAAATCAGATCAAGGGTCGTAGAGCAGCTCGGCCTGCAGGACCAAATTGTGTCTACATCTCGAGTCCTAAACGGCTTCAACATGGCAAGCGAAATAACGAAGGGGGGATAATCTTACCAGTGAACGTGGCCGGTACCATCCAAGATACAAAATTCCATGTCATTGAAGGCAACATGAGATATAATGCACTGCTCGGGAGGCCATGGATCCACAACATGAGGGCAGTACCGTCGACCCTTCATCCGATGATGAAACTCCCAACAGTGGATGGTGCAGAAATAGTTTACGGGGAACAACACGCTGCAAAGGAAATGTTTGTAGTCGATAAGGTGACGCCGATACCAGCGCCTTCGACCTCAGAAAACTCGAGCACCAAAGATAAACAGATGGCCGAATAACAATCACCGTCACCAGCTTCGACCAAACCGGAGAAACAGGTAATCGAATAAGAAGAAGAGGATTTCCTTACTCCTCGAACTTTCGTTGTTCCCGAAGAATCAGATGCAACCAGTCAACGGGTCGAAGAGATGGAACAGGTGATACTGATCGAGCATCTACCCGAACGTAAGGTATACTTAGGAACGGGGTTAACCCCCGAACTCAGGAAAAAGCTCATTCAATTTTTTATCGATAACATAGATTGTTTTGCTTGGTCCCATTTAGACATAACAGGGATCCCGCCGGAAATAACAACACACTGGCTAAGCCTTGACCCCAGGTTCAAACCAGTGAAGCAAAAAAGAAGGCCCCAGTCCGAGGTGAAACATGCATTCATAAAGGATGAGGTAACTAAGCTTCTTAAAATAGGATCTATTCGGGAGGTAAAATACCTCGAGTGGTTAGCCAACGTAGTTGTAGTCCCTAAAAAAGGTAAAAAACTTAGAATGTGCGTAAATTACAAGGATTTAAGCAAGGCATGCCCTAAAGACTCTTTTTCGCTGCCTAACATCGATCACATGATCGACGCCACGGTTGGCCATGAGATCCTTACCTTTCTTGATGCTTATTTCGGGTACAATCAAATTCAGATGAACTCGGAAGACCAGGAGAAGACCTCATTTATCACTAAGTATAGAACATACTGTTACAATGTGATGCCCTTCGGGCTAAAGAATGTAGGAGCTACATACCAACGCCTAGTTAGCAAAATGTTCGAGGAACAGATAGGTAAATCAATGGAATTTTACATTGACGATATGTAGGTTAAGTCCCTGCGCACAGAGGACTATTTAATTCATTTGCAGGAAACATAAAAAATAACGAGGAAGTAAAACATGAAGCTTAACCCAGAAAAATATGCCTTCGGGGTCGGCTCGGGCAAGTTCATCAGCTTCATGGTATCAAATCGGGGAATCAAAATCAATCCCGACAAGATCAAGGCCATCGAATATCACCATCGTAGATAGTGTAAAAGAGTACAAAGGCTAAGAGAACGGATAGCCGCCTTGGGCCGATTCATTTCGAGGTCATCAGATCGAAGTCACAGGTTCTTTTCCTTACTCAAAAAGAAAAATAATTTCGCATGGACCCCAGAATGCCAGCAAGTTTGGAGGAATTGAAGCGATACTTATCGAGCCCAACTCACTCCGAAGGTGGATGAGAAGTTGTACTTATACTTGGCAGTGTCCGAAATAGCGGTAAGTGGTGTACTAGTTCGAGAAGAGCAAGGTACGCAGCTCCCTATCTATTACGTAAGTCGGACTTTAGGAGATGCTAAAACTAGATATCCACACCAAAAGTTGGCATTTGCATTAATAAGCGCATCTACAAAGCTAAAGCCATATTTCCAGTGTCACCCCATATGTGTGCTAACCACTTATCCTCTCCGAAATGTTTTGCATACGATTGGCCAAATGGGCCATAGAACTTAGCGGGTACAATATCGAATATCAACCCCAAACGTCCATCAAGTCTCAAATCTTAGCTGACTTCGTGGCCGATTTTACGCCGACCCTCGTACCCGAAGTGGAGAAAGAACTTCTGCTAAAATTGGGTACATCATCGGGGGTATGGACCCTCTTCACGGATGGTGCCTCGAATGTGTAAGGGTCCGGGCTTGGCATCGTTTTGAAACCACCTACAGGTAACACTATTAGGCAATCTATCAAAACTTCTAGGTTGACTAATAATGAGGCCGAGTATGAGGCCATGATTGCAGGTCTTGAGCTAGCTAAAAGCTTGGGGGCAGAAGTCGTTGAAACTAAGTGTGATTCTCTGTTGGTGGTGAACCAAGTAAACAAAAGTTTCGAAGTTCGAGAGGATAGGATGCAAAGATATCTGGACAAGCTACAGGTTTGCACCGCTTCAAGGAGTGGATTCCAGATCATGTACCTCGAGAACAAAACAGTGAGGTCGATGCACTTGTAAACTTGGGGTCATTAGTCGATGAAGATGATATTATCCCGGGGACTGTCGTCCAATTATCGAGATCTAGAGTCGATGAGGGTCATGCCGAGATAAATTCTACAAGTTTGACATGGGATTGGAGGAATAAGTACGTTGAATATTTAAAAAATGGGAAGCTCCCATCGGACCATAAAGAATCAAGGGCTTTACGTACCAAGGCTGCTCGGTTCACACTAGATGAAGATGGAACATTATACAGAAGGATATTCGATGGGCCATTAGCAGTATGTTTAGGGCCGGGGGACACCGATTATGTTTTAAGAGAGATCCACGAAGGCACTTGTGAAAACCACTCCGGCGCCGAGTCTTTGATTCGCAAAATTATTAGAGTAGGATATTACTAGGATAACATGGAAAAAGACACCAAGGAGTTTGTCAGAAAATGCGATAAATGTCAAAGCTTTGCACCAATGATTCATCAGCCCGAGGAGCAACTTCATTCAGTCCTGTCCCCGTGGCCTTTCATGAAATGGGGAATGGACATCATCGGCCCTCGACCAACGGCCCCAGGTAAAGCTAAATTCATTT